AGTATGATAACTATTGCTTGTGATAAATAGTCGACGATCGGAATGAAATATCAGTTAGGCACTTTTTCTCCGGCTTTGAACGTTTGTTGGCGGTTTAGGAACATGCCTAATTTTGCCAAAACATACCGCTTTCCGTGTCTCCTAAGCATTTGAATCCGTACGAACATTTCCTTTAATCAATCGATAGTTATTATACCGTTGCTTCAAGGCAAACATTAGGGAATTTTATTGTGAACTAACTATTGTACAATAATTCCAAGGCTGTCATTGTCAACTGTCTTTACAGGCAGTCTTAATCAACCTGCTAGAATCGCCGCTCATAGCGAAGGCGGCTGTGATCACAGGATTAATTTATGGTAAATCGCACTATGCTAGGTTAGCATATTCTCAAGGATTTTCACACGACCGGCCATAAAAGGTTTACCATTTTTACAATAGAAGTTTCAGGATATTATCGATTTATTGCATAGACACAACGCCCGATCGTTGAAGAAAATTTTTGGACAATGAAGAAATATCTACTGAAGCTTATTTTACAAACATTAAGGATAAAAGCCAAACTGAAAGCAGAAAAGATCTAACAACTGTTAATTTTGCCCGGTGATTGTCGGGAGACACATCAAGCTTGCAAGCACACATAGATTGCGATCATATGATCAAACACAAAACTGTCCCTCCAAAGATACATCGCATATAAATTTTAACTTAACATTTGTATTACTTTGTATTAACTCCATATTATTTTTCTCAAAATACTGACGCAAATCAACAATTAACAACTAGTCTCCTTATTTTTACATTTTTTCGCCTGCTGATGCCTGTTTTGCGTTGAACATTTAGAAGATGCTGTACTTGTAACAAGGGCCTCTGCAATATTACAAGATTAAAATAATGTTACTGAGCTAACAACAAATTTCATATTGTAATTTTTTTGGAAAATGACACCAGATATTTGAAGTCCATGTCTTATGACCCCAATGGGCTTCCCTTGATCTGACAGTAATAGGACTAATACATTTTTACTAAGGCAGGCTGCTTTAAAATCTCTACATTATGGCCACGTAAGCGCTGTGCAAAAGAAGATATTGATAAACCAGTAAATCTGAAAGAAGTCTGGCCAACAATGACATATCGCTGGATACATTCATTAATACTTGCTGTCAGTCTGCGAGCCATTGAGTGGAATACTTGGGGTTCTTGATTTATCAGAATGATCATGCGGTTAGATGTTTTTGATTTCCACATTGCCGCTAATCAATATTGCTTTTGGCTTTGCTCCTGCCGGCTTAAAATTGTTTGTATAAAAGGTTTCGAAAATTCATTTTGAGAGAGATCTTGGCCCCCCTGAACCATAATTTGTGGGTTCCCGGACGAGTATAAGTATATATAGTAGGTCTGTACTCCTATGATAAGTAGAACAGTATTTTTTGAAAATCAAAGATTGAGTATTTCCTGTTCCATGTTCACTTAGTAATTACTTAAATTATACTGAAATTGACAGGGTTTCTGCAAAATAATCACATGTTTAACAATTTGCTTTTGACCAGTTTTATGACGTATTATGCTACTTTCCCTTAGCTGACTGGGTCTTTATTTGAGGAGCCGGTCATTTGTGTTGGGACAATATGTCAAGACGATAGGGACTTGTGAAATGTATGCACACCTATACAGGACACGATATTTCAAATTATTTCTTGAGGTTCTGTCATCGGCTTCTATGCCACACGCTTGATCTCTTGCTTTGGACGACTTACCTCTGTGTGAAATTGTCGGGTCACGTATATTACATCAAATAAGGCGTCATGTGTTTGCTTTGAACTTTTTTTCAGGGGTTGATTTCTTGTTAACGCTACGCGTAAAGACTGCGGGTTGGATTGTTTCTGACCTATTACTTGAAAAATGCGCTGCATATCCGTTTATAACAAGGTTATGCGGACCGTGTGGGGTTCAGTGATATGTAAAGACTATGAATTGTATTTTTTCACAAACTGCATTCATAAAGGCTTTGAAAAACAACCGCAATTCAGGACTCAAAATTCTAAATTAAATGAACAGGATTATGTCGATAAACCTAGTTGTCACATGAGAAGATACAAGCAGTGAAACTCGGTGGTCTGCTAACATCCTTTACGGGGCGATTCGTATAGGTCACATTCTGTCAAACATTGCTGATTATTGCATTATAAGCTACCAAACTGTCCAAACCCAAGTCGGCAAGCGATATATTGTAGTGAATCGGTTTGAGAATACATGTGCGTAAACCTAACAAAATGCATGCACAAGGTACTCAGCACACGCTACCTCTGACGATAGTCACAGGGCAGTATAACCAAGCTAGACAATCAAAAATAAGAGAGGGGTTTGACGGGTAAGGTCTATTAGAGATCTGACGTTTCCAGTAGTTGCTTCGTCTACATATCATCCTAGACGTTGATGTTTTGCGCACGGCTTTCCTTTATATGGCGCACCTTGTTGAATGCTTGGTACGCCAATGCCGTCCGTGCGGCTGGTGCAGACCCGCAGTCTAATTGTCCCGTCCTTGTCGGACGCGGAGATGGTTGACAGCCCCGAATTATTCACGCTTTGGCAGTTCACTGTTAAGAAGGTCTGCAAACAAGACACAGAGGAGGCAAATAAATGTGACGGTTGACATAACAGCCGAGGGACGTTCAGGCTTCTTTTACCTGTCATGGCCTATGATCATCGCCGGGGTTCATTACCTCAAGGGCCATAAAGTTTAAGATGTGTCCATTTGCCAGCATAGGTTGATACCTCCAACATGGGTCTAACCTCCGCACGGCTAACTTATGCTCGTGCAATCGCGTATGCGGCCAAAAGCCGATTTCTCCCACGTATGTGCGCATTCCGTAGCTGCGATGAAGTCAGTACATATTGGCAGACATCTCCCGCTAAGCGATCGGGTTCTCTGCCGCATAACTTGCCGGTTCGATGCGATAACTACTCGAAACGTCAGACCTCTAATAAAACTCCCCAGATGAACGCCTCCTCTCCTGTTAGTATCCTACCCTGAGATCGCATTTCCACTACTACTGGCATCTGCGTGCCTTTATGTCGCCTCCATATTACACAGACTCGCACACTCAATTCATCCAGTGACCTGCTGTGCCGAAACAATAATGATAATAGGGGTAGGCTGATTTCACAAGGATATTAGGGATTTTCAATTTTGGTGAGTTCATATCGTTGCGCTGACACTTTGGTATTAGTATTTAGACTACGACTGATAGATGCTTCTCCGATTCACAACAGATTTCAAAATTGGTGGCATGCTACCGCTTGTAGGCCCGCTACCGCTTGACGGCCCGTCGATAAGAACGTTAGAAGGGAACTCACCGATCGAGTTACGGAAATTACTTAACGATTTGTGCTTTGGTGCACTCTCCTGAACGCCATTAGCAGCCATAGAGAGGTACGTAGTACAGGCAGGATGACATAACCGACAAAGACAAGGAAGACAGAAATGGCCATTGGTGGCTTATTAGCCGTTGTCTGCCAGGTCGAGGGATTAAGCACCACGTGATGTACAATTTAGGCTTACGTGTGACTGGTTTCCGAAGGCTAAAAAGCCAGAAATCGCCAATCCAGTGACTTTCGGTCATTCATGACTTTGTCAATGATGTCATTGAACACAGAATTTAGAAAATTATATTTTCCATAGCGTGAGCATCTTCTTGAAGAAAGAGACACGATCGCTGGGACAACAGCTTTATTAGCCTGACGTTAAGGATTCCTGCTCGAACCCATCATCAGAGACAACATCACATACGAGCGGTTCATGCACAAAGGGGCTGCAATATTTAGAGGATGCAGTCGCCATGATAACGCATACCAATGAACATTTACGTCTCCCCGCTTCATCAGGGATGGTCGCACTTGGTGTGCTAATTGTTTGATGGCCGACATTCGCGTCGTTAATAGCTGCAATTTCATCACGTACGTTGGATATTGGTGTGATGATTGCTTGACCATCTCATCCACCGACCCTGGAGTTGGGAAAAGTGTTAACTTGTGCGCTCCCGCGTGGCTAATTACTCCGCCGAGTATGGAAGGGGAAGCTCATTGCACTTGTTAATGGGCCTTGTTAATGGGCCCTTAAATCATGATTCAAGTAGCGACCGGGGTCACGCTGTTGTCACCCCTTGCGAGAATTTCAGCCTAGTGGAATTTGAATGTTTGGCCGAATCTCGTCGAGTGAACTGCAACTTAAGATCTGGCGTCATTTCTCTGCACCGCTGCAATGTGTTTGGCCACTTTCGCTCGGAGCTGTCTTTCGGTGTCTCCGACGTAGTTGCTTTGTCCGCAACTGCATCAGATCCGATAAACGACTCCAGGCGTTTCTGGCCGTGGCATTCGGTCTTTCGGTTTCATTAACTGACGCCTGATGGTTGCCTCTGGTCTGTGTGCAAATCCAACCCCAAGTGGTGCGAGAAGGCGGCCGACAGCTTCCGAAACGTTCTTGACATACGGAAACACTCGCCAAAATGTGGTGTTGATGCGGTTAGGCCATTTGTCCCTTTTGCGTGTGCACCGGTTGACAAAGTTGCGCGGGTAGCCGTTGGCTTTGAATACCCGTCGGAGGTATTATAGTTTAGCAATCTTGTCTTCCGGCTCCCTCCAGTATGTTTCGAAACGCCGATAGAGCGTCCATACACAACTGCGTTTGTGGCTGATTGGGTGGTTGCTGTTGAAGTTCAGTACTTGCATCGTATTTTTCGTTTTCCTGAACACTTTAGTCTTTAGTTTAACACATCTTTTGCGGCATACGAGGACATCCAGGAAGGCCAGCTTGTCAAAAGAAAAGGAGCCGTTCACCAGGAGAGGTGTATTTAAGGTCTGACGTTTCGGGTAGCCGTTTCTTCTACCCATCTTCAGAGACTGAGAAGTCATGCACACACTTTTCCTTTTATGGCGCATTTTTTGATGCATGACCCGCCACTGCCGCCTGTGTGGCTGCATCCGACCCGCATGCCACCGTGACCTCAATCCCGCCCATTTTCGTCGGCCGCGGCGATAACTGACGACCCCGATTGTTCCGCGCCGTGACTGTCGCCCGTCAAGAATGTCCGCAAAACCCGATAGGTGGCAGGCAAATTGATGTGGCGGTTGACAGAAAAGCCAGTAGTCTTCCAGGCTTCTTGCACCTGCCTTGCCGTATGATCACCACCGGGACCCACAATTTCAACGGCCTTAAATTTGAAGGCGTGTCCCATTTGGGCGGCCTGGCTTGCTGCCTCCAACTTTGGGTCCAACCTTCGCACGGCCAACTTCTGCACGTGCATGCGCGGTTACAGCCGTTGGCCGGTTTCCCCAACGTAGTTGCAAATTCCGCAGCTGCACTGAAGTCGGTAGACAACAGCCGACATCTCCGGTTTATGGACTGGGTCTTTTAGCCGCATCACTTGTCGGCGGATTGTTGAGTCAGGCCTGTGGGCAACGCCATTTCCGAGCGCGGCGAGGGATCTGGCTACGGCTTCGGAGAGCCCTTTCATGTAAGCAATGCTCCGCCGCGATTTTGGCTGAAAGGTTTTTCATTCCGCTGTCTTAGTTGCTTTCGGCCCCGTTCAACGCATAATCGCGGATAGCCGTTGGCTCTGAAGAGTTCTTGGAGAAGCTTCCTCTCGTCCAGTTTGGCGACTGGAGTGTTGCAATGCGTTTCCACCCATCAGTATATCGTGCGTGCACAGCTTCGTTTGAATTGCAGTGGATGGTTGCTATTGTGACTGAGTTTTTGCAGCATATGCGTCGGTTTTCTGTAGACTGATGTCGCCAGTTTGTCGTATGGTTGGCGGCAAAAGAGAGTCTGCTCTCCACTTCTTCTTCCATCGTGAAATGTACAGTAGATGTGCTAACTCATGAAATGTCAACCAAAATTTCGAAATGCGTTCTCGTTTTGAAAAGATAAATTAAGTGGTGTTGTAAAACTCATCATGATGCAGCATAAATCAAAATGATCCAGTTACCTCTGTGTGTCGGCTTTCGAAAGAACTTGTTTTCGCCTGCCTACAAGATATATACGCTGCAAATATGACTTCTTATGTAGTATGCAATTTTTTTTATTCATTTTCGATGCCCTTCAAAATTCAATTATATTTCGTGGAAAACATGCATAAAAATATTCATTCTTTTGCTTATTTGGTAGAAAATCCCGTCTTCTGCCAATTTCATGCTCAAACAAATAGTATAATTCGGTTTTAAAAAAGTTTCTAATTTTGAGATATTTTAATACCGTTAAACGGCCGGTCATGAAACGTCATTTATCTGCATTAACGAATGTGGCTTGTAAAGTTAACAATATTGTTCAAATCAACTGCTTAAATTTTATGAACCTCATATGGTCTCCTCTTAACACCGTAGAGAAATTCCTGCAATATTATTAATTTTAAAAGCCACACTCGTAAATGCAGATACATGACGTTTCATGCACGGCCATTTAACGGTATGAAAAAAATATCACAATTAGAAACTTTTTAAAACCCAATTATACTCTTCTTTTGAATATGATGTTGGAAGAATACGTGATTTTCTACCGAATAAGTAAAAAAGGAATATTTTTATGCATGTTTTCCAAGAAATATAATTGAATCTTCAGGGGCATCGAAAATCAATGAAACAAGTACATACTACTTACGAAGTCAGTTTTGCAGAGTATAGATCTTGCATGCAGCCGAATCTGTGTTTTTTCGGAAGCCGACACACAGAGGTAACTGGAATATTTTGATTTATGTTGCATCATGGTGAGTTTTACAAAACTACTTAATTTATCTTTTCGAAACTAAAACGCATTTCGAAATTTGGTTTGACATTACATGAGTTAGCATATCTACTGTAGGTCGGGAATGATTGAGTTCAGCAGTTATTCAGTGTATTAAAGTTTATCCTGATCGATGATTACGAAGGTATCATCAACGTAGCGCGCCCAAAACCTGGGCTGCTATTACACGAAGAGGAGATCACATATGAGCAAATTAAGGGCACTTCTATAGGTTCATCAATCACCGGACCCATTGCCGAGGCCATTCTACAAAACATGATAGACGACTGTTGGGGAACACAAGCCCATGTTTTGGGCGCGCTACGTTGACAATACCTTCGTAATCATCGATTAGGTTAATATTAAGTACTATGAAGAATTGTTGACGCTTTTCAAAGATTGTTGATTGAAATAGATGAGATGGTACCGACAATGACAAGGGAGACTGGAATGGCCATTTCTGGCTTATTAGCCGTCATCAGCCAGTCATACCCAAGTGTCATACTCAAGTGTGGATCACTTGAGATTCGAACCCGGGATCTTTGGTCATGAAGTTTGACGCTCTACCATTGAAGCACGGGCCCGTTGTCCTGTCGGTTGTGATCGGGAATATTATTTATGATAGTGGGTGCTCACCGATAAGTTACGGAACATGCTCGTTCCGTTGTGCCTTAGGGCTCATACTAGAACCCTCGCAGTTGATTGAAATTTCACTTTCGAAGTTTGATTTATCCCAGTGAATTTGCCTTACAGTTCTAATTAGGGACCAGTACACCGGAAATTATACTCGCTACCCTACATGCAGGGTATTTCCGAAGCGATCGCCCGACAACTAAACCGGTTTGGCATCTTCATTGCCCACAAGCCGGCATCCTCTGTGCGCGCAACACTATCGCGAGTGAAAGACACTTTACCTAAAGAACAGCAAACCAACGTCATCTACCGCATTTCGTGCGCCAACTGCTCTTGCGACTATGTTGGTCATACAGGCCGACGACTTGGGACGCGTATAAACGAGCATAAACTAGGCATCCGTCGACGTGCCTTTTTTCACACGTGTTTGCACACGCCCTTGAATGTGACCATCGCTTCATATGGGAAGGAACTGAAGTTGTTGCCATGGCGAACACCAAACATGCTCGTGAATTCCTCGAAGCCTGGCACTCTAACACGACAAGCATCAATCACCATTTCGATCTTGATGCTCATTACGAAAGTCTGCGTGCCCGGCTCACTGACTTGCGCCCACGACCTAACAACAGCCGCTAATCCACACTGGGACATGTAGAATCGCACTATTTCGTCACCCCATTACACCCTCAGACACAGCGAACCGCAACTGCAACCCGTAACACCTCTACGTTGGGCTCACTGACCTCCGCCCGCATGCCGGATCGATGACCATTAAGTCCACTGCCCATAGTTCCATTGATTCGTCATTCCCCCTACCCTCCAACACAGGGAGCCGCAACAGTTCCTCCTTCCCTCCCCCGCCACCGATACCAGCCTAATTATCTGTCCACTCCCATTCACACATTAGTTGCTTGCCTGTCAATGGCTGCCCTGTCACGCCAGTTCACTTTCTCCACTGTTTATTTCGTCTGACGACGGGTTGGTGTCACCAGCTCGAACATTTACGAGTACAATTCAATTTTTCCGACGAGCCTTCTGTCTTCGTTATATTTTCTCGGAATGCACACTACCTCGGATATCCAATATATATATATATATATATATATATATATATATATATAAATAATACATGAGCAGCTCGCTAGGAGTGCAACAGGCCAGACGCAGACAGTTGTTTTACGGTCATTACCGATCATCAGTACGTCATAGGCCTTATATATATATATATATATGGAAATGGTAGAATACCGTACTCCCGACCTAGATACTTGCTAAAAGCCCAGACACGTGTTTCGCCGATATTCTGCCGCTGCGTGACACAGCTGCGAGGGGTTCGGCTCTTCAGTGGGACCCCCAGCGTTCTCTAGCGGTTTCCGGTATATGAACTCCAGAGAATAATCAGGTGAATAATTTCAGAAATTAATCAATGCAGAACTTGGAGTTAAATCTCCGGGACATGACTTTTTAGGGTCAGAACCGAAATTTCAATGAACATTTGAGTCGAAGACAATCAACTACTGTGGAATAACCACGTAATGCCCATTCTACAAACAAGTAGTACTACGAGTAGTATGAATTTCATATGGTAAAGGTATTATACCGTACTCCCGACCTAGATACTTGCTAAANTGATTATTCTCTGGAGTTCATATACCGGAAACCGCTAGAGAACGCTGGGGGTCCCACTGAAGAGCCGAACCCCTCGCAGCTGTGTCACGCAGCGGCAGAATATCGGCGAAACACGTGTCTGGGCTTTTAGCAAGTATCTAGGTCGGGAGTACGGTATACTACCATTACCATATGGAATTCATACTACTCGTAGTACTACTTGTTTGTAGAATGGGCATTACGTGGTTATTCCACAGTAGTTGATTGTCTTCGACTCAAATGTTCATTGAAATTTCGGTTCTGACCCTAAAAATTCATGTCCCGGAGATTTAACTCCAAGTTCTGCATTGATTAATTTCTGAAATTATTCACCTGATATATATATATATATATACATATATATATATATATATCAGCCTTGCCGCTTTCCATATTACGTATTGCAAACGGCGACACAAATTGCTACCCCCTGCCAATGCGTTCGTCACCTAGGTTACATTTTCATAGGAATGACAATCGGTTGCATTCCGCCCGTGCGACATGAATGTTTTGAACACTATTTGTAAATTAACCACTCCCCGTAGAGTGTGTCAATAAGGCGCTGCACATTTGTTCTTTGCAAAACCAAATGTATAAGTTCCTATTTGAACGACTGGTTTCTATGTCGAGAATTAACGACCGAATATGCCTGTCACAAACGTGTGCGTCGTTTTGTGATATCCTTATAATAAGGTTCTATGTTTGTGACGGGAATCATTCCCAGAACTAAAGTGGCTTGCAGCATGGGCGAATTTATGTGTATACGGATTATGTAAACTGCAAATAACTCATCGTTTCCGACTTTCCTTTGAACTAAATGTTCATATTTGCAATTTTCATGTAAAAGCAATGTGTGCCATTTTCGGGACGGTTTGTTTCATTGCTCTATTTCTGGGAATACATATGTAACGTAACAGCCTCTGCTATCCTATGCAGCCATTTCTGTACTCAAATGTTGTCACTGGAAACAATGTTATGGAACAAGGTCATATATGTTTCTGTTAAATTTGCCTAAACTAACGATAAAAGCTCGACTTCTCACCGCCAGCATGCACAACGATGAAATCGACTTTGACCCAAATGGACATATTCACTGTTTATCCTTTTAAGCACGTAGTCCATAAGATTTAGCAGGATTGCAATGATAAGCCACCTGTTAGTTAAAGCTTCAGCTAAAAAGCTAAAACTGCCTCCTTCGGTATTCAGAGTTTTAGTTTATTGAGGTCATGTAGGCTTTCAGTATTCTAA